CTGGATCCCGACAATATTTTCCCGCCATATGCTGACTTTGTGTCAGAGGAATACATTAGTAAATGTACTTTTGTGACCTAAAAGAGAAGAAAAGTAAAAGAAATAAGGTTTGGCTTTACTTCTTTATACTTCTCCGTCTAAAAGTACTTAAAACTCAAGCCGGGCCCTGCATCCATAATATTACTCACTGTAAATAAGTGCCTGTACCCAATATTCACTGGTGATACCAAATAAATATATAACCAAACGTCTCTAGAATCCGGGAATATCTCTGACATGCCACTGCTGATCTATGGGTTCTATGAAGAGCAGACTTCCTTTCATCAAAAGGAACAGAAAAGTCTGATAAGTTAGCGATAAGGAGACCACAATAGTCTTCAGATATGCGTTTTTTGTATATTGATGAGCTGTACAGCAGTCCGTGCTGTCGGTGTAGCCAACATCAATCTGTACAGCTACAAGTCAAGAATTGTAAACTGATGTAGTTGCTGTTGCATTAATCATGCCCATTGACTCAAATCTTAAAAGGAATAAGTGAGGATGTCACTTTAAAAAAGAAGTATTTGGAACTTAATCTTCTAAATCTTCATTAAAAGAAGTTACAATTGTGATAGGCTTGTAATATAAAAATTAAATTCCTCTTTCTTTTGCAGGAAATCTTGTATAGCTTAACTAGGCTTCTGCTCCTACCCAGAGACTGTGCTGAATACATTTATAAATAGCCCAGTGAATGGGCCTGTTCATTTAAATGAAGCTCAGTAATACATTCATTTTAGCAGTCTTTTATGTTCTCCTGGTCACTGTGACACCTAGCAGCATAAACCACATAATAATCTCTCCACTGCATTGTGATTGCCACAGACAATGCACAGTCACACAGAGTACCCCGGGTGGATGGGTGATACAGAGAGGTAAATTGCCGGCACTAACAAACTGGAGAAAGTCAAGTAGTTTCTGTGAAATGATCACCAATTTTCACTTGCCGTTCAGTTAAATTTTCTTTGTTATGCTTTTACATTGTTGTAAGCTTTAATCAGCCTCTAGTTCCCTTTTGTTTGTCTTATTCTGCGAGTCTTAACAGAATGTTAAGAAGGTAAATATAATCGTCAAGTCTCACATTGTAAATTCCACATATTTCTTGTATGTACAGGGGTGTGGACATTTTGAAAAAACTTGTCCCTCACAACAATCTACTTGTCCCTCACGACAATCTACTTTTCCTTCACGACAATCTACTTGTCCCAATACAAAAAAATGTTTTAATCAAAACTAGGGATGCACCGATACCGGTTTTTCGGTACAATTGTACCGGTTGCTTTCGGTACTCGCCGATACCTATTACCGATACCGGTGCTTCCGCTGGCATGGAGTCAGCTTCCCCGGCAATCAGGAAGCCGGGCAGCGGGTAATGACATGCCACCCGGCTTTCTGATTGCCAGAGAAGCCGGCTCCATGTTGTTTGGCCTGCTTTATTGGCCGGGAAACCGGCTTCCCAGTCAATCAGCATCAAGCCGGCTTCCCGGCCAATCAATTTGGGAGAGACGGGCCAGATTTGATTGGGTAATTCAATTTTCCCATATTACCTGGGAAAGTGAACTTACCCTGTAATGCACATGTGCGTGTAGGAGAGTTCTGCATGCCTGGCTACCGCAATATGGCACAGTGGAATGCGGGCAGCACTCAACGCACACACAATGTCCTACGCGAGCGTTTATTTGCATGCAGATGGCGGGGGCAGCGGGGTTGGTTTTATTTTTTACTTTATCACTTTTATTTTGTAATTTTTTATATATTTTATTATTTTTTACTTTTTTTATAACTTTTATTTTTCTTTAATTTCCATTATTTTTTTTACCTTTTTTTTCCTCACTGAATTTCTGATCAGATCACATGTATAAAACGTGCAGCGGCTCCCCACTGTACATTTAGCTCTGCTTGCCCGAAGTCGGGCTAAATGTACAAAAAGACGACTTGCCCGACGCCCGAAACTGCATGTCCCGGGTGTCGGGCAATAGGAATTCCACACCCCTGATGTATTGTACATACAACGTACAGTATGTATATCACATTTCAACCAACTACATATTTTTTATTTCAGATGAAACAAGAAATGTAATTGGTTGGTATTAGGAACAGCTGTAACTTTATTTTTCCAGTTTTTGTAAACCAGCTCTGCGGTGAAACATTTGGTCCAGCGTTTCTCAGAGTATTTGATGTATGTCCTTCCAGTGGCTAGTATTACTCAGGATATAGAGTTCAGGAGCAGTGGAGTTGTTGGAGTCCACCTAGCTGGGTCTGCATACTGATTTTTGGACTTAATTTGGATTTTTGGACTTGCATACTGATTATTGGACTTGTTGACGAACAAAATTTAAGTGCAGCTGAAGTCATAACTTTTTTTTATGCCTTCATATATATCTTTTTTGTATCTTATGAAGATTTAAAACCTGTCTCCAGGCAAAGCTAATAGACTACACTTGCAGTGGGGCTATACAGGTACACCGGAGTTTGTGATCGGGTTATGTTCTGATAAACCCATCGTAACCCGATCGTATCGTAAACAGAAAAGTGTACTGCACTGCAGCAGACAGTACACAATGGGGAACAACAGCCAGATTGCTATTGGCTATTTCAAATTGCAATAGCAGACTGCCTATTGAAACCCCGCCCACTAAGAGGAGGAGTGGGCCTGAGAGACAGACTTTTCTCTCAGATCTGCTCCTCTGCTCAGTGCGTGGGTGTAATAGCCAACCTGCTATTGCAATTTGAAATAGCCAATAGCAGTCTGGCCATTGCTCCCAGCTGTTTACATTCACATGTCGGCTGTGGAAGCTAGCCGGCAGGTGAATGGTGAAGCAGAGAGCCTCGGGGATGGTTGCTTGAGAGTTACTATTAATGCTCAACTAACCAGGAACTACAGTTATCCGGCACCTACCGATTAGTTGGTTCCTGAAAATCTGGGAGTTTTTTTGCACAGTGCTGTGTACAGTAAACTCCATCGCAAATGCAAAAGATCGTAAATCAATCTATCGCAACCTGAGGTCCCCGAAGTCTCTTCTTGTCTTTACTCTAGTAGTCTAAGGAACGCTGATGTCATCATGTCTAATGCAGGAAAAAAGCACAAAAAGGGGGGCTCCTTTCCTGGTGCAGATGAGTTTTATTCAAATACAGGTAAAAAATGAAGAGAAGTACTCACAAGGGTAAATTAGATAAAAGCCATAGGACTGTAAACCAGAGTGAGGCAAGTAAAAGTCAGCGATGCAGTTCCTATGTGCCGGTGTGAAGATATCTGCGTTGACGCGTTTCTGGGGCACACCCCCTTCATCAGAACAGGTCCCCCTCTGGTGATGTTGATGTTCTGATGACGGGGGCGTGCCCCGGAAACGCGTCCAAGCAGATATCGTCACACCGGCACATAGGAACTGCATCGCTGTCTTCCACTTGCCTCACTCTGGTTTACAGTCCTATGGCTTTTATCTAATTTACCCTTGTGAGTACTTCTCTTCATTTTTTACCTGTATTTGAATAAAACTCATCTGCACCAGGAAAGGCGCCCCCCTTTTTGTGCTTTTTTCCAGATACTACAGTCCCCGTGGCTGAAGTGGGGCAGCATCCTGCAGTATGCGCATTATTATCCTCTTTTGAGGAGTGACTGTCTTTGGCACTTTTTGTTCTAATTTGTTATGTCTAATGCAGGGTTCATAGACGTGCATTTTACATGAGGACACCGTGGGACATTTCACCAGCTCGATTGGAGGGAAGAGAGGTGAGTGCTGACCTTTGGGGGAGTGGGGATCAGTTCGTCTAGGCATTAAACTTTCAGCGGCCCCCTGTACCATAAGGGCTGTGCAGAGCTGCGCAATCAGTGGGTGCTGCTCAACATAATACATGGACCCAGGGTTGAATGCTTCATCCCACCCAAGTCCCTACAAAGCCTCTGGGCTAAACCTTGTAGTGTGGGGTGGGGGCAGCCCCACTGCAAGGGTTAATTCAAATTTTGCCTGGAGTTCTTCATTAAGTATGGCAGCTATGACCCATGGATGCTGATAGAATAGAAGCTGCAATAATGTGAAACATTTAATCTGACCATTTTTGTGCTCTGCACTTGATTGTCTTCCTTTTTAAAACTATCTTCTGTTGGTTTAGCCATTTACTAACATCTGTGTAAAGTGTTAATTTAAAGTTTTTCTGTAAGATGACCCACTTTGTAGTTGTACTGAGAAATGCAATGTGATCTTGTTATTAAAAATGGTTCTAATAACAGTTTTGCAGGCACAGGAAGCCTCTTTCCATTCCTTTTAATAGTCCCCAGCATGTGATAAAAAAGCGGCTGGACTCTGCTGACTGGTAATTTTCAAAGATGTCATTGCTAAAAGTGACTACAGACAGATCCTAAAATACAGTAAACACAAAGGGGCCATTTATAAAGTATGGAATAGCTGTTTTTGCAGCTTTTTGGTGTCCTTTTATATTTCCTAGTGTATTTTTTTTTCAAGTTCCATTTTAAATAGCAGGTTCGGTATTTTTGTAGACAGCAAAGGTGCTCATAGACCTTCATGATGACCAAGAGTGCAGGAATCTGACTTACTAAAGAGGTCTTTTTGGATGGTTTTATGCATAAACATGCACAGCCAGCTCTCCTGAGCGTTGCATGTTTATGCTATAAAGGCGGGAATGGGAGTGAGAAACAGACAGCTTATCCACTGGCTTATATTGGAAGGGGGGCAATGGAGTAATTAAAGCTGAGCAAATTATTGTGCCAATCATCACTGGCTTGTTATTAAAGGTAAAACATACAGCAGTAGGCCACTGTGGGCTCATCAATGGTTAGCCCGCTCTTGAAGTCACAAAAAGACATTGGAAAACCACCTATAAACAGTATGAGTGTTATTCCAATATGCTAGAAAATGTAGGTTTGGCGGTATGGCCAGTGGTGTTAAGCATAAAATAATTCTCTATATGACAGTACTTACATTTTGTGTATTTTATAATTTTATCAGGAACAAGTGGAACTCCTGTGAAGCTTCTGACAAACTTATTTGCACTGGAATTTCCAAAAGAGTGGCAACTGTATCAGTACCATGTGGATTTCAATCCTTCCATTGCTTCTATGAGACTGAAGGCAGCTTTGCTGTATAGTCACAGCGAAATTTTGGGCCAAGGTCGTGCCTTTGATGGAGCCAGCCTTTTCCTGTGCCGTAAGCTCGAAGAGAAGGTAACGTTTTTGCTAATTTACTTTCTCTTTTAATATATTCTAGCAAAAGACGAGAAAGGCGGACGATATTACAAATAATGATCTGTTTTAGTGGATAAAATGTGCAGGGGAGTAGACCCAGGAGTATGACAGCATGTGCAGAAGACAAGTGCCAAGGGTATAACAATGCGCAGTATGTGCAGGAGAGGAGTGTGGAGGGTATGACAGTGGGCAGTATGTGCAGGAGAGGAATGGAGGGTATGACAGGGGGCAGTATGTGCAGGAGAGGAATGGAGGGTATGACAGGGGGCAGTATGTGCAGGAGAGGAATGGAGGGTATGACAGGGGGCAGTATGTGCAGGAGAGGAATGGAGGGTATGACAGGGGGCAGTATGTGCAGGAGAGGAATGGAGGGTATGACAGGGGGCAGTATGTGCAGGAGAGGAATGGAGGGTATGACAGGGGGCAGTATGTGCAGGAGAGGAATGGAGGGTATGACAGGGGGCAGTATGTGCAGGAGAGGAATGGAGGGTATGACAGGGGGCAGTATGTGCAGGAGAGGAATGGAGGGTATGACAGGGGGCAGTATGTGCAGGAGAGGAATGGAGGGTATGACAGGGGGCAGTATGTGCAGGAGAGGAATGGAGGGTATGACAGGGGGCAGTATGTGCAGGAGAGGAATGGAGGGTATGACAGGGGGCAGTATGTGCAGGAGAGGAATGGAGGGTATGACAGGGGGCAGTATGTGCAGGAGAGGAATGGAGGGTATGACAGGGGGCAGTATGTGCAGGAGAGGAATGGAGGGTATGACAGGGGGCAGTATGTGCAGGAGAGGAATGGAGGGTATGACAGGGGGCAGTATGTGCAGGAGAGGAATGGAGGGTATGACAGGGGGCAGTATGTGCAGGAGAGGAATGGAGGGTATGACAGGGGGCAGTATGTGCAGGAGAGGAATGGAGGGTATGACAGGGGGCAGTATGTGCAGGAGAGGAATGGAGGGTATGACAGGGGGCAGTATGTGCAGGAGAGGAATGGAGGGTATGACAGGGGGCAGTATGTGCAGGAGAGGAATGGAGGGTATGACAGGGGGCAGTATGTGCAGGAGAGGAATGGAGGGTATGACAGGGGGCAGTATGTGCAGGAGAGGAATGGAGGGTATGACAGGGGGCAGTATGTGCAGGAGAGGAATGGAGGGTATGACAGGGGGCAGTATGTGCAGGAGAGGAATGGAGGGTATGACAGGGGGCAGTATGTGCAGGAGAGGAATGGAGGGTATGACAGGGGGCAGTATGTGCAGGAGAGGAATGGAGGGTATGACAGGGGGCAGTATGTGCAGGAGAGGAATGGAGGGTATGACAGGGGGCAGTATGTGCAGGAGAGGAATGGAGGGTATGACAGGGGGCAGTATGTGCAGGAGAGGAATGGAGGGTATGACAGGGGGCAGTATGTGCAGGAGAGGAATGGAGGGTATGACAGGGGGCAGTATGTGCAGGAGAGGAATGGAGGGTATGACAGGGGGCAGTATGTGCAGGAGAGGAATGGAGGGTATGACAGGGGGCAGTATGTGCAGGAGAGGAATGGAGGGTATGACAGGGGGCAGTATGTGCAGGAGAGGAATGGAGGGTATGACAGGGGGCAGTATGTGCAGGAGAGGAATGGAGGGTATGACAGGGGGCAGTATGTGCAGGAGAGGAATGGAGGGTATGACAGGGGGCAGTATGTGCAGGAGAGGAATGGAGGGTATGACAGGGGGCAGTATGTGCAGGAGAGGAATGGAGGGTATGACAGGGGGCAGTATGTGCAGGAGAGGAATGGAGGGTATGACAGGGGGCAGTATGTGCAGGAGAGGAATGGAGGGTATGACAGGGGGCAGTATGTGCAGGAGAGGAATGGAGGGTATGACAGGGGGCAGTATGTGCAGGAGAGGAATGGAGGGTATGACAGGGGGCAGTATGTGCAGGAGAGGAGTGGAGGGGATGACAGTGGGCAGTATGTGCAGGAGAACAGAAAGGCATCTATAGGTATTATTTTTTAAACCTATGAATTTAAAGTGAACCCTTGGGCAAGTCTCTCAGATCTGACTGAAATATGGGTATAGTGTTCAAGGTATTTTAATTGCCTTTTAAACAATTCCTTCATAGTCCTGATACAAAGCATGAAGGATGTGATAGCTTTTTCTTTTTATGCAAATAGGGACTTGTTTCTCTCAGAACTGGCCCCATTTCCTCCTTCAGCACAGAGTATGAACTCTCTAAAGGTATGGTTGGAAAGTACTGAGCGCATGTGCAGGCCCCGCACAGAAAGTTTTGACAAGCAGGTTCAGTGACAATATCTTGCTGGATTGGGATCAGGTAAATAAATGACTGGCAGGGAGAGCTAGCTTTAATCATGAGACTTCAGTGAGGAAATTACAAATCCTATGGCAGGTAAAACAGTCCGGTTATATGTAATTCAGCCGTGCATTCAGCTGTTTGCCTGGAGTTCACATTTGAACAGTGTGCCATTAACAGAATAGACTTTCTCGGTCTGAAAGATACAAATAAAGGCAAAAACACCGTCTCAAATGAACCTCCTGCTGATCCAGCATTGACTCCCGTTACCCGGCTGTTGCATATACCTTCCCTTGTGTTTCTTCTCAATATATCCTGGTAACTATCTTCATTGTAAGTCCTTGGCAACTATCTGCAATGTCTCCTTTTCTCTGTCTTGACTTGCGGTAAAGAATTCAGGCCATCAATGTTTTGTATTGATGGTTGCCAGAAACAGCAGTGTTCAAGGTAGAGGCAGCAGTGCACAATTAAAAAATATTCTGTCTTTAATACCATCATATTGATTTTTTAATTATAAATAAAAATTTTAAATGATAGAGAATCTTTTCTACTGTCACACTCCATAGGGGGTTCTGCTCTGTTGTCCTGCTAAATTAGCTTTGTCATTAAATAAATATTATTACTTAAATAAGGAAAAGATATTCAATTCATTTTATATTACAGCAATGTTTCCAGTTACAAACCTGTGTTATTTTATTGTAGGTCAGCGTACACAACTGCTACTTTTTGTTTGCTAATAAGCCTTCCCTAATGGATAATTGATTTTAGAGTAAATTAAAATTTTACACAGCAGGTCTATATCTGAATGCCTCACCCAGTGAACCAAACAAGTATAGTACCGTGTCGGCATTGACCCACGGGTCTACCCTGTAAAAGTGGCATTAAAAAGGAAGTTCTTTTGCAATCTGGAAAGACTGTTTCCATACATTAGCATGAGATCACTGGGAGTCCACAGCTTGTACTAGGTACATAAGTGAAGATCCTATGGTTTGGGATATAAAGCTGAAGTTTCATTACCAGGTGGCTGGATAAAAATGTATACTTTGTAAGTTTGCGTCACTTTTATGATGCACTGTTACAAATCATAAAAACCTAATTGTCTCAATACTCATGAACAGACTATGGGGTCTATTCACGAAGCAGCCGAAGGTTCTAGTTGTAGCTTCGGCCGATCCTTCGGCTAGCTTCGGCCCCAGGACCCCTTAGTTTCAGTAGAACCGAAGGGCTGCTGTACGGTCTATTCACAATAGCCGTACAGCTCCCGAACTTAGCCGAGCGACTCAGTCGAGCCGAACGCATATGCCTCGGCTTGGCTGAGCCGCGCTGGAAGCTGGCCGAGTGGCCGGCCAATGGCAGCCTGCTTCTACAGCTGGCTCCGGCCACTTGCAGAGAGACTATTGAAATAGCCAATAGGGATCTAGCAATGCATTCCTATGGGGAAAAATATATATATATATTTTTCTATTCTGACACGGCTCCGTGTCAGAATAAAGAAAAAGCAGTGTTTTTCTCCTTTGCGGCCGGGAGCGGGAGACTCCCAGAGCGCCCGGGAGAGTTTTTTTTTTCGTTTTTTTATACCACAGCAGAACCGCTGGCCAATAGAAAACAGTTGGGCGGAGCTAGCTGTTATTGCTAGCTCTGCACGATCGTTTTCTATTTGTTTGTTTTTTACTTCTTTAACTATTTTTCTGTTCTGCTCGGTCCCTCTGAGGTATTCACTCACTGCTGTTCGGCATCTATAAGAATAGACCGAACAGCAGCGAGTGGCCTGCCGGAGGTTCGGCTTAGCTGATCCAGATGTTGGATCGGCTGAGTCGAACTCCTCCTGCACTTCGGGTCGGCTGAACATGCTGAGCATGTTCGGCCAACCCGAAGCCACCCGATGTACGGCTGATTTCAGCTAATATACGGCTGAAATCAGCCATACCAGCCTGAAGTGAATAGCCGAACAGCGTTCAGCTCACTTCACTTCAGGTTGGTCTTTCACTCGGCTGCCTATGGCAGCTTAGTGAATAGACCCCTATGTGACAGAGAATGATGGGCAGTGAGTGACCTGTCCCTTCTTTTGTAAAACACTTTACAGATTGTGTCTATTTTTCACTCACCTTACCAGAACTTGTATGGCTGTACTGTCTCTTGGCTCTTCAAAGGTTAGTTAGGATTGGTATTTTTATCCTGCATTGATGAGAACAAAGACGCCATATGAATGTGGGAGGAATTGGATGATATTGTGGGCGGATCTGTGGTAAAATTAAGGGGTTTTGGGTGCTTAATGTGCCACAGGGATAAATAAATATCTTGGTTAGGACTGGTCACCATTATTACCTGTGGTCTCCTTATTGACTTACCATGCTTTGTTCTGCACTGCGTCTCTGTGTGGAGACAGCGATCAATGTTGATGCTGGATTTTGTTTGATTCCTTACGTCAGAGCTACCAGCATGAACAGTGATCTAGAACTAGAGCAACCTGTGTCTGCAATCTCTTCATAAAACTACCAGTGTGGGTTCACTAAAAGTCCCTAACTTATTAAAACTCGCTACTGCAGCCTGTTTTGTGTGATGAATGGTCTAATCCAAACTGTCTCCTCCTCCCAAGCCTTTTGCTCAGGGGTACGCGATTCAGAAGGAGTTTCTTAAGAAATGAGCTGTTCCCTTTGTGGATTCACTGCACTGGGATATGCCAACTACCAGGGAGGAACCAGAAGTCTCTCAGCTCAAAGACAAAATAATCACATTCCTCCTTCAGTATATCCTAAGGAGATTTCCCTCCATTGTTTGAATGTGGTATGAGCTGTTTTAAGGATGAAATAATCAGAATCTAGGAAGCCGTAGATGAGAGATAAATTCAGAGTGCCCATAAGGGAGAACCTGCCTGTCATTCTACCGTTTCTAGGTAGCTTAGGCATTCAAACCTATAGGCTTAAGGACAAGGTTCCACCTTTTTCTGTCAAAGTGCATTCCACTACATCATCAGCAAGTGACTCTTGAGGTTTTCAGAATCAGGAATCTGTTTCTCAGATTTGCAAGACTGCCACCTGCTTTTCAGTTCACATGTTTGTTAAACTTTCCAAGGTGGATGTTTAGGCCTCATCTGATGCCAACTTTGGATGAAAGGTCCTTCAGGCAGTTCTGTCAGCTTCATCTAGTCCCCAGGGTTAACATATTGTTGTTGTTTTTTAGTGGGCCTGTAACGATTTGTGTGCTGTGTTGGACTTATTTTGGATGTCACCCTTTGTCCCTTAATGAACAATGACGAAAACAGGATTTTTGACTTGCTATAAAATCCTTTCTTGGTGTTAATTAAGAGACACAGGTCCCACCCCATTGTGTTTATGATCCATCCCTGCTATTGTTTTTCCACAAAACTGAAGCAAAATGGGTGTGGGAGGGGTTATACCTGGCTGATTAAAAGCTTTGTTTGCCTGTGTCAAATCTCCTGCAGACAGCAGTATCACCCAGTTGTCTCAGAATTTTTCTGACCGTGTGTCCCTTAATGAACTCTAAGAAAAGGATTTTATAGTCAGTCAAAAATCCTGTTTATTTTTTCAATCTACTGCTTAGGTGCAATTACCATTTATAAATGTTCCCTATCATTCCCTAACATAGCAAATTATCACTTTTTGGGTTCAGGAGAAACCGGGACCCTGTTGAGTGGTTGTAGCACACCCAAATTCTTAAAGGCTGACCGTACATTTATTTATTTTGGACAGATGACTTGTATCCAGGCATAAAAACATTTATTATTTAGCCTGCAAGAATAAGTGGTTGATTAATCCTAGCTACAGCTAAAAAACATAATCAGTGTAAAGGTGGCCATACACTCCACAACCATCGCAAGACCTTAGTCTTGCGATGGTTGTACAGGGATTAAAAAAACGTACGATGTGCCTATCTTGGACAGGCAGATCGCACTCTCGATCATCGCAAGCCCGCCCCCCCTGAGGGGCGGGCTTCCGATGACCGCAATGCTGAACGGGCAGTGTGCGCGTGCGCACACCGGCCCGTTCGGCATTTGTCTTCCGAGCACCGTTCTAACCAGCCGAGAATCGTACGATTCCCGGCTGGTTTTCGAACATGCTGGTTCGACAGAAGACGTGCGACCGTACAGTAGAAACGGTCGCACGTCCCCGTTCACACTGCTCGATTATCGTACGAAAAACCGATCGCATACGATTATCGTACGATAATCGTGCAGTGTATGGGCACCTTAAGGCAGGAGTGGAGGAGGTCAGTTCAGTAAAATTTTCATTGAGCAGAGGTCCGAATCACAATGCGGACAGAACTGTCACTCAGTCTGTGTCCATACCCTGGTCCGCCATTCAGGCTGCATTCACACCAGCAGCAGCACTACAACGCACAGCTGCTGGTTTGTGTTGCCAGCCACTGTGCTAATTTTCCGGCACATCACACTGTTTTTTTATTTTTTTGCAAGAACTCCCCCTCGTTTACATTTACGTGCTTGCCGTACAGGCCCGTGTTCAGTCGAATCAGATGGTGGGGGTGGCAAGGTTGGTTTAAATGGGTTTTTTTTGTATTATATTTTTAAATGTTATTCTTATCTCCTAACTTTTGCTATTACAAAGGGGCTAACAAGCCCCTATGTGACATCATTTGGAGGTGACAGGTTCTCTTTATGGAGACCCCTTATGTCTCCGCTACCCTCCAATACAGACGACCAAGCACAGGATTGTCCAGGCACTTGAACCGGGTATTGACAGCTCTGAAGCAGGGAGCCCTGAGAGCACTTCGCTTCCTTCTTCATTTATCACAGAGCAGATTGGGGAATTGCCATTCTTCGGTCTGCACCCTGGCACCCTCTGCCACTGTCCCGGGCTCCCCAGGGTAGTGGGGGACCCCAAAACCAACAACGGGGTGGACCAAGTACGGTACGGAAGGGCTGGCTGTTCCCCCCTTATAGGCAACCCTGCTTGACACCATTGGTTGTCAGTATGCAGCATCCTAGCAACCAATGACTGAAGCGGAGGCGGTCCTGCACTAAGTTATGGTTAGCAGTGGATGCACCAGGCTTGGAGGCCGATGTATTCACTGTCAGGCAGCCATAACCCAGTGCAGGTTGACAATCACGGTCTGGACAAAACCGTTACTCGGTCCGTGTCTTTACTGTGGTCTGCCATTTAGTGACGGCTGGTTTAAGGGTTTTGGCCAGGCTATGGATATAACTAACTTCTGTATGTGGTTGTGTTTTTTGTCTTGTTGGGGCTTAATGCTAATGTAGGTAAATCATTCTTAGATTACAGACCTCACCAGTACAACAAAACGTGGTGAAGAAGTGAAGATAACAGTGACGCTGACAAGTACACTGCCGCCAGGGTCCCCCGTCTGCATTCAATTCTATGGGGTTCTTTTCAAGAGGTATATGATCCAGTACATTATGTACAAGTTCTTGTGGTCTTTCTGCTAGATAGAAATATTCCCCTCTAGTCTAGTGCTGCATGAGCTTGTGGCTAAAATTGTGTCTCCTCATTCCTGGTGCTAAGTCCGAGTTCCAGAGCTTCATGGTATCATTTAGTTAGATTCCGTGACACATTATGATAATCATTTCGATCATCTTGTCTTATGCTGCCTATAGTCAGTCCCACCTTGGAATAGGCCTTTACCCTTTTGGGAGCCAGTCACTAAAGAATGTTCTAAGTATTGAAAACCTAGTTAATTTATTGATGGGTTGTTTTCTTTTAAATTGCTGTTTATATGGTCTAAATTATGCACCCAATGATCAATTATAATATAGGTAATAGGTGGTGGTGGTAGTATAGAAAGCTCTCACTACCCTTATAAAACCTCAAGACAGGATAGATGTATACACGTAGAAATGTGGGTGAAAAGAGACGAGGGAGAAAATATAGGGAGGGAAAGAAATGTTTCCCAAGGGACAAGAATGGAAAAGGAAAAAAGGGAGCTAGGACTGAAGAAGAAAAAAAGAGAGTAATGGGGGAGTAAAAAGAAAACAGCTCCCATCCCCTACCACAGACCCATAAGTAATCAATTGCAGGTATCTAGAAACCATATAGAATGTCTGAGGTATCTCAAAATGCGAGCCAGGCAGACCAAGTAAAAGTGAACCGTTCCCACAGGTGTTCCAAAAAAAGCTATGCATCTAGTTCCAGTGTCCATCCAGGCAAGGTAGGTATCGTGGAAGTACGTCAATGTCGTGGGGTGACAGCCGTAGCAGCAGGCAGAAAATGACAAAGAACACTTCTTTTCACAGACTTTAGGCAGCCTGGAATTATGGATAGTAAAATAATTTATGGGTGTCATTCAAGACCCTGGAACCTGTCACTTTATGGTACACTTCTAAAGCCCTCTGCCAAAATTCTTTGATAGAAGGGCTGCTTCACCATGCCGTGTCCGGAGGCTCTTGACACCTCCAACAAGAGAAAGATATATAGACACATATACTTGCTATTGACAAAGAATGTGAGAGAATAAAAGACTTTTCCCAATCATCTGGACAGATGAAAAGGCCCAATTTCCCTCTCCCAGACAGAGTTGAAGGGAGGCAGAACAACAAGAGAGGATGCAGGAGAGGTTAGACTAAAGGAGCAACACTGTGGCCCCTTTAACCCTTTCGCTGCCAAGCCCTCCGGAACATTTTTCAAATCAGCTGGCCAAGCCATTTTTGCAATTTTTTCCTATTGATTTGATTTTTAACTGCTGGGTTTGCTAGCGTTTGTAAAAGACCCCCCAAACCATATATTTTCTGAAAGCGCAGGCCCGATAGAATAAAAAGATGGTGATACTTGTTGTGATTGAGTGGTATCAAATCTTGGTAAAATATTAATAATAGGGTGGTGTCTGAATTATACTTAGATTTAATAGACAGTGCCTCCAGCCGATTACGGCAAATAATAAATAACTTAACAACCAGTATGAATTCAGTTCAGACACTTGATAACACACCCCAAACCACTTCCCTGTTTATCTAGTAACCAGGGGAGGCTGGACTGTCATGAGAGCTTGTCGGAGCCGGCTTTAATATGACTGCCGGCTTCGACAAGCTCTCATTGTAATGACAGCTGGTCCCGTCCAATAGAAAACAGTTGGGCGGCGAAGCTAGCTGTCACTGCTAACTCCGCCCAATCATTTTCACCTTTTTTTCTACTTTTTCTATTCTGCTCGGTACCACAGAGGTACCGAGCAGAATAGCTGAGCCGAACAGCAACGAGTAGCCTGCCGTCCCGCTGCCACAGACCCTACAAGCAGCGGGGATCCATGGAGTCTCTCATCCCTCCCTGGGGTGGCTCCAGGTTGCGCCCGGTATTTTTGATGATAGCAGTCATCAGCGGCTAAAGCGACCATGAGCTTATAGTAGAACTGTAAATGCCAGGTCCGTACGGCATACTGAGCTGGCCAGCCAGAAGCACTTTTGTACCTCCGTATGCCGTACGTCCTTGCTAGCGAAAGGTTTAAAAGGGAACATTCTATCCTCTGGCATTATAGGTACACAATTTAAGACAGGTTGGAGCCACCACAGTATGGGCCATGGCGAGGGGTGGGAGGAAAGTGGGAGGAAAAGCAGAAAGAAAAAAGGGAAAGTAAAAAAGGAAAACACAAGAGTAGTACAGGAGAAAAAGGGGGAAAAGGAAGCAAAGAAAAGATGCGTTCATGCACTTGGTGGAGTAAAGTCCTAGCAAATGCTAGAAATACCCAGTCCTGCCTACAGGCTGGGAAAGCCTCCGTGGGAGGTAGTAGTTGAAGATGGATGTGCATGAGGTACACCTGCAACAAATATACAGTAGGTCTAGCAGATTCTATAGAAAAGAGAAGAGGAAAAAAAGCAAATGACCATTGAATACTCAATGGAAATACCCAGCCGATCTACAACATACAAGAATAACAATTATAATTGATAGAAAACCAATAAGTCATAATAACGTACAGTTAGGTGGGCCAGAAAACCCTTCGGGACCCAGAGTGTACACAGAGCCCACAATATCAAGATGATCCAGGCAGAGGAAGAAGATATGTTAGGGAGGGAGGCCCCAATCAGTAAAACACATCGCTGACAACACAGCCCACAAATCAATAACAGTTAAATATGTTTGCAAAACGTATGAGCCATAACAGAAAAATAAAGGAAAAGAGAAAAGTTCTCCAAGCAAAGCTAACAAACCAACAAGGAGACAGGGTAGCCACCATGAGATGCAGCTTGTGCGCATGAGGAGTACTGCCATCGAAGATACACTCATCCTTCGCTTGAAGTTAGCCGTCGTGCCTCCTGGCCATTTGGGGGCCAACAGGGCCTCCTATGGTGTTGTGGTAGAGAATCAGACAAAGATGGTGGATTGCCAGCCAGCTGTACTTTGAGCCAGTTGGGGACTGATACAGAAGCAAACAAAACAAGTCCGGTAGTTGCGCAGGCAAGCAAAACTAGAATTCCTTTGCGAATCTGAATGCTGATTGGGTGTCTCCAGCAATGGGTGGCATCTGCCTGGCGAATTACACGGCCAAGGTAATGCGGGAAAGATCCGGAGGCAGATGTATGTTAGCACCATCAAAGCCGATCGGCCCCGTGCGCCAAGCACACCTCATATTTTCCTCTTTAATGCTGAAGTACAAGTACTCCTTACTCATTCACAAGAGGGACAGCATCCGATGCAAAGGTGCTTTTTTAGGGGGACCCCTTTTAACTTGGGGTTCCCTCCTAACATTCCCACCAGACCTAAAGGGTCTGGTATGGTTTGGGAGGGGGGCCCCACAATGTTTTTATTTCTGTTGATATGTAATTTTTTTTATGCTTGCTGGCATTCGGCAATTTACATTCTGCTGTTCGGCCCTTATGAGAATAGGGGTGAATAGCAGAGATTGAACTGCAAAATGCTTGTCTCAGCCGATCCAGATGTTAGATCGGCTGAGGCGAATGTGATCTTCACTATGGGTCAGCCGAACGTGCTAAAACGACTAAACCGAAGGGAGCCGGAGCCGAACGAAGGGAGCCGAAGCCAGGGTTCGGCTCCCTTCACTTCAGCTCGGTTATGCCTTTGGCAGCTTAGTGAATGACCCCCCTGGTCTCAAGTCTGATCACCTGATTTCCTCTAGGTCCTAGGGGTTGGGAGAACATGCCAAAATAAGGTATTGGGCATTTTTCCCAGTATTTAAAAACAAAATTCTAAATACTGGGTAATATTGGAGAATAATAATATGTTTGTTTTTCTAGGATCTTTAGATGCCTTAACATGTACCAAGTGGGACGCAATTACTACAATCCTTCCAATCCTGTGGAAATCCCTCAGCATAAGTACTACATTATTAATTATTACCATCTTGCTTTGCATATTACAAGCAAAAGTAATTTATATGTATAAATGTAAATGAACCTAAAGCTGCACTCCAGGCATATTGCTAAATGGACACAAGAAATATATATGACCAAAGGATTTGTAGCTCTTGTCATCCAGTTCTGTGCTTTACACACCTCTGTGAGACAGTACCCCCAGTCTGAAGACTTGACTTTTTTTGTAGCTAGGCCTCCTCTGTGCCCACAGTCTGCGACTGTACAGGAAACCATCAACAGCGGAATGATGATAGTTTCTATGCTCTCTCCCCATGTGTATGCAGTACAAATTGATTGGCTTCAAGTGCTGTCCCTCCCTCTCCCAATCTGGATTCTGATGCACAGAGGAGTACACATGCAGATTGGGTTAGAGAAATACATAATTGTAGTAATACTACTGAAAAATGGCCTGGCCAGGAAGGGGGTCTAAACACCTGGTCTTTAAGTGGTTAATATGTGCCTGTAGTTCAGCTTTAATCTCAGGCCTACAATTAATGCATTTTTCTTTTTCTTCATTAAAGGACACAGTGGAGATCTGGAACCTTAGACCTTCGGGTTTAAGCGCTACCTTCAGGAGTAGGAAACTAGGCACAAGAACAAAAGCACATGCCCCTGTTGGAACCCTTCTGTCTGGCATCCTTCCATCAGAAAATAAAGGAATTGGATGGGAAATTTTCAGGTGAACAGTGACAGCAGCAAATTGGATGCTGTCACTGTTCGGGTAATCTGACAGCGGCAGTTTGTATTCCCCCTAGCTCAGCCACCGAGCGCATGCATAGCCTTAGCTACTTGCGGGATCGGCTGGGACAGGTCTTTCGTGGATTTGGGCAGACAGTGAGTTTTCACAAGAGAGGCACATGTGACATAGTGCCTTGTTGCTTTGTGTCCTCCGGGACAATCTATGCACATCCTGCAAAGATTGGTAAGTATGTGAACCCACATAACCTACCCCTTCCATTCCTTTCCCTGGGTGGTGACTGAGATCACTTTGTGGGTGCCCCTGTATTGCCCATCATCTATTCCTTTCCCCCATTTAGTGTGTTGTTGTTTGCACTTACTATTTTTTTTATCTTGGCCTGGATTCGTGTTTACTTTCGGCTGGATCTCCAACATCCAAGTTGGAGCAGGTGCTGGCAACCATGTTGGGGGTGGGCACTGGAGGATATATTGACTATGGCCAGCGCCAGCAGCCATTGGATAACTGACCATGGGTGCCTAGCTATGGGATCATATCCAGCGCCCTTCCACTCCACTGAAACGCAGAGCAGCTTTTTCCTGCCTGTATGCTCTGCAGATTTCCTCTTAGTCCTGCAGCATTTCTGGATCCAGGGTGCATGGAGTATGTTGATCCCACTGGCTTCTCCCCCCGGATGTGCTAGTCCCCAGTTATGGTGTTACATATCTCTGCTAGTTACCATGTGTTATGACCTGGGGGGCTGGACATGTCCTGGGAGACTATGGGGATTGAACTCCTTTATGCCTATCATACTGTTGATTATGGTTAACAGGCATCTCTACCTCTGGAGCCAAACAAGAAAGTGCTCTACTTTCTTCCTCCAATGCAGTTCCATGGAACATCTGTGCACCACCAGCCCTGGAGAGTTATCCAATCCAGATTCAGTGAAACTGGGCAATTAGGTGATGCTTGTGATTCTGAATTGGCCCAGACAGATGCAGTATTCTGTCCGAAGATTACTGGCAGTTTCTCAATGGGCTGTTCCAAACCATCTGGATTTTCAGTTCTATGAACCAATTTATCATATTACTATATGACTATTGTTAGTCATATATATAGTACTACTATTACTATATAATATATTATTATATGACTACGATTGCTGGCTTAATGGCCTAGCTGTTGAAGAGACGGTGGTCTCTCTGAATCAGTCATTCCCTTGTTTATAGTTAGGTGGTCTACCTTCTGTAAGTCCTACCATTGCGTATAGAAGGTGTGCTTCGCATTTTAAGAAACTTTCACCTCGTTTTAGTTCTGCAGTCATGGATCAACATTTTGGACCTGACTACTGTTGAGAGATGAACCTTAACGATTGCGATCTAATTCACAAAGACCATTAGTTCCCCGTTCCTTGGTTAAGACCTTTGTATAAGATGGGTCCTTTGTAGCTCCCCCAGTACAACCTCCCCCTAGGATATGCTTTTGTTTTTTTGTGCCTAGTGTCCTTCCCTTGAAGGTGGTGCTATATAATTCAGTGGTCTGAGATTCAAGGTCTCCAATGTCTCCTTCAATGAACGCAGAGAAAAGGATTTTACAGTGTAAAAAGGTAAGTATTTTTTCTAATGGTTTTATGTGACGAGTGTGTATTTCTGATCATATGCTCCTTGAATACTAAACATTCCACATGCCTCTCTAGGTGAGATTAGATTCTACACTCCATAGTTTCATCTCAGGTACTGGCTTGTCTCCACCAAAGCAATCAATGATACCAGCAACAGATGCAAAATGATATTTTTCCTTTGTTAAAATAGCCAGCAGGAGCAAGTCCTGGTCCGATGCATTTCACGCTAGGCCCAGCACTTTCTCTTTTGAATAGTAGGAGTGTAATAGTGTAATTACCCTATAAGGCTTGATTCAGACCATTGTGTGTGGGCTACAACATTAGTACAACACACTACGTCTTTTATAAGGGCGAAGAAGTATGTTGTGACCAATAGCACCCCAACTCATTTAAACAGTAGGAGCCAACACATCTGCGCATGTCCGAATGTGTACATGGATTACAGTGTTCTTTGTTCACCAAAACATGTGCTAGTGCATTTTGTATACATTGAGGATTCTTAATAACCCATTCAAAGTAAATACACTGGCTTGAGGCATGTTATCAATGCACACTAAAAGTTAATATGCATGCAAAGGTGTAAATACAGCCTTTAAGAATTATTTCTGCAACAGAACTATCTGCAAAGAATACATTTGCAGCAAATCCTCCTGTGACAGCGCTGTCTCCGCCCCCACACCACTCTGCCGGACTGTGATAGGCGGCTGAGCGGTGTGGGAGGAGAGACGCCGGCCGCTCACAGCGCTCTCGTCCTGCAGCGCTCAGCCGGCTGTCACTTTCTTTTCTCCCCGCTGGAACAGCGCCCAGCGTGGAAAAAAGAAACCAGGGATGTGCCGATGTATCGGCCGACACATGGCTCTTTCGGCATTATGCCAAAAGTGCCATTTTTGGCCGATATATCGGTGCATCCCTAGCAGCAAATCATTTTATCAGATGTCTCCCATGCTTAAGAGTAATTAGAAATCGTTTTCATACCCAGGATCTTTAAAATGTTGTTTGTAGTTTTGTTGTAGAATGTCTGGCTTTAAAGAATATTTCAACTCGGGAACAAAAATCAAATATACGTCAGCTTTCCAGACTTTAGATGTGTTGGTTGCCTAAAGTCCATCTTCTGCAAGTGCAGAACAGTACCTGTTGATCTTGTATTCGAAGTTAGGATGACAGTGCTTCTTCTCCATAGATACAGTGCAGTAAGTGAGTGTTGTCACCCTAGGACAGGAAGTGTGTTACTGGCAGGATTACTAGGTGAAAATCAAGGAGAAAAAGACTCAACAAGACTTATAAGCTGCAGTATTTTACATTTTTGGTTTTGGTTTTAAATATAATTTAAAGCAACATTGTAGCCACCTAATCATACATACAGTACACACTTGTGGCAACGCATGCTAAAAACTCCAAGCAGGATACAACGCATCGCAACAGCCCACAATGCACATATCCTTTGTTGTGTGCTGTGTTATTAAAAAAAGGGTTTTATGCATTTTTAAAATCCATTGCAATGTGTTGGCAGCCGTTTCAGAAAAAATGCACTGCCCTAACACAACATACATTAAAGTGACTCTAAACTCAGGAGTTACATCTTAAAAATACATTCATGCACCTTAACTATTAACAAAAATGCATCTTATTTGTGTATCACTCGACTGTAGAGCCTCAAATCTCTGAATTGGTGCTGACAGTGTCCTTCCTTCTGGAGGGGGGCTACTTTTGTATCCCATGGTCCCTGCCTGTGTTGTAAAGTAGTCACCTCTCCAAACTCACTCCTGTGATGGACTACAATCTCTCATTTAGTTTACTAATTTGTATTGAGATTGGTTTGAAGCATAATTTTATTTTTCTATGTAATGTATATATAAAAACAATGTTGACCAAGTGCTTGTAGGTGCATGTGATCTCCTCCTGATCCATGTTGTCCTTGCTGAGCTAGCTTGGCCCTTTCCCCAACACCCCCATTTTCATGTGACTGTGTTCTGGTTGTGCTACTTTTGTTGGGGAAAAAAACATAATATAAGATAGAATTTCCCATTTAATAGTTCTTTGGTCTCTTTGATATTCCACTTTGTTTTGTTCCATTTTGCAAGACAAAAACACATGAAGTGTTTAAGGCTCTGATAGTGCAACAATATTTGTTAAATAAATGTGAATGACCGAGTATAGTAAAATTCCTATAAAAGAATTCCCTCCGCTGGTTTGCTGCACTATCCAGACTCATGGGTTCAAAGTGTTGCCATAATGCAGGACAGTGTGTGTGCCAGTGAGTTTAACACGCTTTACCTATAACATTTACAAATATTTTGTTGATATGTAAACTATAATATTTATTACAGGGTAATGGCATTTACCACACAAGACTAAATCCGATTCTAAGTTGTCACACTTTACAAGATAAAATCAATTGATGGTTGCTATGCAGCAGATTGTCCAGTAGAGCTCCCGCGTTTTATAGTTCTTTCGGCTGCTCTGGCTTTGCACCATTGTAGACATCAATTCTTACAAAGAGACTTTTTTTCAGGTTTATCCTCATTGTCGGTTTTATTTTTGTCATCAGGTTGATGCTGTGGCCTGGATTCTCAATATCTGTTATGCATCTGGAAAGGCAGTTAACTCTGAGTGCGGACGTCAGCCACAAAGTCCTGCGTAATGAGACGGTCCTAAACTCCATGAACGACATCTACACAAGGGTACCGGAAGAAAGGTTCACCGAGGCCTGCGAGAAAGAGTTTCTGGGGCTGGTTGTGCTAACCAGGTATTCAATATTGGATATCAAAACATGCTTAAAGAGGAAGTTCATTACACATTTAAAAACTATCTCTTCTGCTTTAGTATTTTGGTTTATTTTGTTTCTTAGTTGAAGATTCTACTACCGAGAGCTGCTAGGTGATTCATATCAGATATTATTAAGTCCTAGCAGTCTCTAGCTAGCTGACAAATTGAGAGATTCATGGCGGATAAGTTAAATCCTGGAAGTTTCTCTAGTTGTCATTTCTGGTCTCAGTACTTAGGCTTTCTCCTGCCATGGTCCTGTGTTCCTGTTTTCATCATGGATTACCTGGCCATTCTTATGTCGGGTACAGTGTCCTGGAGTCGTGAGTAAAAAAAATAAAGGTATTTTCCTAATATTTATAAGGTTGGGTGTTTTCCCTCCTTTTTATTTTACTTGGATTATGTGCTTTTATACTCCTATTTGGATAAATTCCTTTTCATTTGGAATTTGAATAATTTTATTTACAATTCCTGCTGTCTGTTTAACCAGTTGACATCCGCGGTGTTAAACCCCCTTCCCATCCAGGCCATTTTTCAGTATTCAGCGCTGCGGTACTTTAACATTTATTCCGTCATGCAGCGCTGTACTGAAATGAATTTTATACCATTTTTTGGGGACAGATAGAGCTTTCTTTTGGTGGTATTTATTCACCACTGGGGGTTTTATTTTTTTACTATATTAAGGAAAAATTACCGAAATTTAAAAAAAAAAAAAAACAGTTTCCCCAATATTAAATGATAAAACATTTCTTATTACCCAATTTTTTGGTAAAATATAAAAGATGGGGTCACGTCGGGTAAAAAGACACTAAACATGTCAAGCCTTAAAATTGCGTGCGCGCGCGAAACCTCAAAAAACGATAATACCCAAAATTGGCCATAGGCGACGCTTTAAAAGCTGTTACCGCTCATCAGTTTAGTGTTATCAGTGATTGATGGCCCTAAAATGATT